GGTGTCATGGAAAAGTGGAAATTTCGCTAAGGGACAAATGTATTTTTGAAGCAAACGAGGTAAAATCATGTATGTATGCAGTCAGGTATTCGCATTTTAGATATCAAATAATGTAAGATCTTGTAATTTTTGGAAGTTTATGCCCAAAATGCAGCCATTTCAACCCATGTTTTTCCAAGCGAAGTGAGCCTTTATTCAGGTCAGTGATTGGATGGTCTGCCAAGTAGAGAATACTCCCTCCGTTCCTCTATCCCTAGAATATGTTTCAACTTGGCGTCTTTTGTGTCAAAAATGAGAGATTGCCTAAAACAAGCTTTGAAGGAAATTGGTATGACATTTCGCTTAAGGATGGGCGGGAAGCAATTTTGAGCTAAGGAGAGACAGTTCGACACTTATCAAAGCTCTTTTATGTGTTCTTCTGTGACGATCCCCAAAATTCTTGAATAGAAAATCGATAAGAGAATTTTGACTTCAGAACCATCTCCCTCTACCCTTCTCTCCCCTACTCGCACTTTGTTTCCTATTCTCTGTTTCACTAATTCCGTGAGAGATAAGAGGGGTATTATGGATGTGGTACTACCCCCTCCCTTCCTTGACATAACTGGCAAGTCTTTCCTCAGCTAATCAAATGACAATGCAATGTTCTCAAGACCTCAAAATAAGAGGCGGAATTCATATATGTATAAAAAAAATGTTTGCGCAAACGATGTTCTGGGGTTGCAGATACGGAAAGGGCAATTATTAGGGCCTAAGTAACGGCATCATCTTCCTGGCTGGCCCCAGACCAGAACCTCTTCCAACGATGGCTTTAATGCTCATGCTGCCTTCGCTAAAATTTGTTATCTGCCTATATTATCCTCTCTTTCGAAAGAAATTGTCCCAACTCGAGTATGCTTTTTCTACAGAAAGTCAGGTATTTTCTGCGTTAAAGATGATTTGATCCACTTGCTTTGTATTATGCCACAGGCGTACATCAGGAATGCATTAATTTTCGCCTGAAAGGAGTCATGGAAGCTACCTTCACGGAGTGGATGTGTCTTCGTGATGGGTCGGAAGACTAGTGCGCGCAAGCCCCCAGCTTAGGCAAAAGTGATTGAGCCAGTACCAAAGCAGTTCAGTTTCTCCTTTTGTAACCACGAAGGTTCTTGTGAAGTGCAAATGCATGCTGCTTGCTCATTTTGACGTGACTGTTTTAGCAATAGAGAAAAAAGGATTGGTTTTGTGAAATGTGGAACATGTCTGGAGGACTATCAGACGTCTGTGAACGCACTGAGCCAAAAGATTGACGTGTACAATGACTGGAATGCCGAATGCGAGCTTGTCAACTCGTAAATTGCCCCAGCAATTATGAACAAAATGTAAACATTTGTGGGTTTGTATGCTTAATGATCATCTCTTCTTGCCTTGACTACTGTTGTCTAATAGACGTCTGTGCATAGAGATTTAGTTTGACTAGTAACCTGGGCCGAGAGGCATTGACAGATGCCGATTGTGTTCTCTGCCGACTTCTGCACCTTTCGAAAAATTATGCGGTCTCATAAATGAGCCATTCTAGTCCAAGTTCTGAATTGTTTGGAATATCTTTTGCTGCATTCCAACAAATGCATCCAATGAGTGTCGCATCAGGAGTCACCATGTTCAATGTGCTCAGTTCCCT